GCTTTCGCCCCCCCCCCCCCCCAATGACACTGGACAGAGTGATACTCTTCGGGTTCGCCCACAGACCATCGCATCGACACACACACAAGACCAGAGAGATGGCGATTTTATTGTGTTTGGTCAAGTACAAAAGAGACCCCGTGGAAAATAAACAGCGCATAACACAGCCCTCCCTTCACCCGTATTTGCTCTGCCAGCACCGTGGCCAGAAGTGTACAGCGAAACCCCCTGCACCATCACGGGCCCTGAGGAGCTCAATGGCAAACTGTGAAAGCGAGGAGGTACCGCTGATTAGAGGGGATGCAGAATTGATCTAATTTACTGCCAGTTTTATTTTGTTTGAATAAAACCTTTGAATCGGCTCCAGGATCTGGCTGGGGGGTGGCGTACATTGCAGGACAGAAGACATCCCCCACCCCCCAAAAAAGCAGGGGGGGGGCAAGAAATGATGATTGTTAAAATCTCCAGTAAAAAGCGAGGCTGGGCTTTTAAACCCTTTAAAGGCACTTAAAAAAACACCCCTAGGCTGCCAATGTCCACAAGAAACCAAAGAGGGAAAAGAGAAAGGAGCCGTTTGATTTACCCTTTCACTACTGTGCTGAGATTCGGGTGTAGAGCAACGAATAGTTCCTGTCTAACAAGGGCGCTTTCTTGCCAAGATGAATTCGAAACAAGTTATGTTTAGACATAAACAGTAGAGCGTACTCTTAATACTCACATGCACCGACGATTTCTACGTGTATCTGTGTATCACATGTGCATGCGTTTGCAACGGGAGGGGAGTCAATGGATAAGTAAAAACAAGAGCTATATCACGTTCGCTTTTAACAATTACTTATTATTTCCAACCACGTGCTGCTACCTAGGGCCTCTTTACACCCTCTGCGAGTAAACATATTTTTGTAATAAACAGCCACTATTCAGATGTTGGATCAACAACGGAGCTAGTCCAAATGCGAAATGGATGGAAGTGGGAAGGGAAATCTAGATGTGTTTAATTGGAATCCAGAGTATATATATATATAATATGTGTAAATACATATTCCTATATTATATGCTATTGTGTACATATAGTATAAATGTATATATATATATATATATCGCCACACATGTATGATGCAATATATCATAGAGAGATATCTAAGTAGGTGTATATATTATTCCCGTTCTTTTAATCTCACCAGAGGGATGACAATTTGATGAATTCCTGCAAAAATTTGTTTTGAAATCCCAGTAGCTAGTTTGTGAGTGGCTGTTTTTGCCGTAATCGTCGCCAAACTATTTATATAATAGATGAGGCCATTTCAAAACACATACATGCGAAGTGTGATCAAACCCTCTATTTTAAATTTAAGCTGAAACGGAAGAGAGAGGGGGCATACACATAGGCTGTGCGCTGGGTTTGGTAGCGATCTCAGACCGCCTCGGGGGCTCTTTGCAGATAAAATATAAAACCAAACAAGTAACGGAATGACTTTGCGAGGAAGAAGGGAAACAGGATAAAATATCATAGAAACGTTTCCCATTCCGTCCGGTCTAATTAAACGAATTTCCAACCGCACCCGGAGCTCTGATAAATTCTCCCCGGAGAATAAAATGAGTGGTTGCAGATAAAATTAAAGCAGCTATTTTGACTTCTTGGCTGCATTAAATAAAGGTGTTATGACACCTAGCTTCGAGAAGCGGGTGGCAGCTTTCAACACCCAGCCCCAGCCGTCCGATGGGAAAGGTTATACTTTTATTTTCAAAGTAAGAAAAAATGATGCAGACGCCAGGCAAATATCAGTGTGTCTGCGAGAGGCGATGCTTTGCAAATTGCGTTTTCCAGGAAAGAGAAGAACGGCGACAAAGGAAGTGAATTATCCGCTGCTATTCTGCAGATAAGCGCCCGCAAAAACGCCCAGGAGGATCATCTCTCCCTTACATTGTCAAATTGGCATTTTAATACCCTCCAAGGAAGTTGGGGGAGGTTAAAAAATTAAAGTGAACGAAATTATTTTAGTTCCTCACACACTCCGCTGGGAGCCCGAGGTTTTCACCCAAACTATTCCGAACATTCATGATACAATTTGCCACTACCATGCGCGTAACTCAGCGCTTTTTTCAGCTGAGCAGTGTCAGCAAGATCGGAGAGGTGACACCGTCCCTCCTAAAGACCTCAAGAGCTCTAGCTCTTTCCCGACTTTCCAGTCCTCAACGTGCGCTTGGGTTTTCCTTCATCATCATTATCAACACGTTGAAGGCAACGCAAACTGCACAATAATTTAACACAATAATCATGAGTATTCATCATGCAGGCTCCTTCGAGTGGGACACAGAGATGGAAACTTCAGCCAAATTATTCCTTCCAGAAAAGGAGAGCTGCGTTAACTTCACAAGCTGCCCATCCAAATCCCAAACCTGCTACCTCCTCTGGGCAAACGGATTGCCAAGGCGGATGATGGGGACTCAGGGTAGCTAACGTCAACTCAAAACTTAGCGGTTACACAATCACCAGTATGAAAGCCCAGTAGTTCAAGGATACAGACACCGTGTTTGAGTCGTCCCGAGGAGACTCAAAAGAAGAACCTGTTGCATTTGTTATTAAACACACAGCTAGTCAGTCAAGCTAGGGGAGAAATAACGAAATGTTGGGGACCCTGTATTTCTCTGTATTTTTAAATTAAATAAAAATCGAAAAAAATCATACTCACCTCTCAACTACCACCTATTGCAGCTGTACTGGTCAAATGCACCTGCAGTTGCAAAGCGAGTAAAAAAAAGTTAGGTTTTACTATACAACAAAATCGCTGTGTGTCTGTGTCTGTGTGTAGAGGGGGAGGGAATTGTCACTTCGCATGATATATTGCCCCCCACCCACTTTGTGACAAGTGACTTGGTGGAAAATCTGAAGTGCAAACCACACAAACAATTGGCAAGGATTTTGAGTGGATTTAAAAATTACTAAGCAGTGAGAAAATCAGACAAATTTCTCTCTCTTTCTCACACACACACACACGTACCCCCCCGACGCACCCCCCCCACACACCACACACACAAACTATATACACACACACAGAAACTATTTGTCATGATTTTTTTTCCCAATGCAACTTCCTTGTAGGACCCTCCTAGTTTCTTCACAGCTCAGTTTGTTGGAGAGACGCTTCGGGCGGACACTGTAGACAAGCAAGTGGCCAATCAAAAGGACTCGTCCCTCCCCTGGCCAATAGCAGGCGCCACATTGTTGTCCAATGTTGTCTAATGGAACCGTAAGGCGCAACAATAGAGCAAGTGGTCGCGGGCGGCTCGGCGGAGATCGCTATCTCCTGGCACCTCTCGGCCCGCGAGTGTCACACATGCGGACTTGAGCGGAGCGCGGGGGCTCGGCGCTGGGGCTCGGCGCCGCTGGCTTTTCCCGGGGGGCGGGCGGGGAGGTGAGTCGAGAGGGCGGACGAGGCTCTGTCCGGGCGCGCCGGGGGAAGTTAGACGTGGCGGCTCCCTGCGCCCAGGGCGCGCGTTGCGTTCTGCTGCGGGTTGGTTGTAGGCGGCTCTGCGCGGTGAGTTTGCGCCCTTGTTCCGCGGGGGGCAAATCGCGCGCCGGGGGCCAGAGCTGCCCTGGGCCGCTGGCGGGGGCTCGGTTTGGCCAGAGGACGGTCGGCGTGCGACACGGTTTGCTCCTTTTGGACACCGTTCCTGGCAGGAGCTCAGGATGCAGCGGTCTCCCTGACTCGGTGGCGATCCCTGTCAGGAGGGCCCGGCAGGGGGAAAAAGGAGGCGGGTGAAACATTTTTTTTAAAAGACACTAAAATTAAAGGCGCTCGTGTTGTGTCTGGCGGCAGGAAGCCGACAGGTGTGAGCCAGGGGACTCCAGCCCGGCCGGGGTCTGGCGCGCTCTGCGGGGCGGAGCACACGGGCTTGGCTGCGCCGTGCCAGGGGCGCAGGGACAGGAGCGGGGCAAAGGGGCTGCAACTCCCTCTCCTCTGGCAGGAGCCGGGGGCCCAGCGATTTGCTCTCGAGTGACCGGACCGGAGAAGGGCCGGAGGCTGTAGGGCGTTTTGCAAGCAATTCGGGCGCGTATGTGCGGGCGTGTGCAGGCCAGGGACTCGGAGCGGGGCTGGGGCGCTAGGGTGGCTCCCCGCTGTTCCTAGCGACCCGGGTGTGTAACCTGTCGGCCCGCGGGCGGACACCGAGAGCTCGGGGCGTTGGTGGAAGAGCCCCGGGGTGCGTCGGGCGCCCAGCTTTAGGCACGGGAGGGACTCCCCGGCTGTCTGAGGGGTCACTGTTTGGGGGGCCGGG